AGGGATCTCACACCAAACATGTTGAAGGAAATCTGCCGTGATGTCAGGGTAGAACCAACCCTCCTTCCAATGGACGGTGAGAATTTCCAACATAGGACTTCAAGCACATCTAACGAAGCCCGTATTGACGTCAGTGCTCGAGGATTCTGGACGCGGGGACAGCGAGCCTTCTTCGACACCAGGATTTTTTATCCCATGGCCACATGTCACCGTAACTTAGCTCTCGATGCTGAACACAGGAGGAACGAGAACGACAAGATAAGGGCATACGGGGAGAGAATTCAGAACGTTGATCAAGGCAACTTCACTCTTCTAGTGTTCACAACCTCTGGTGGGATGGGACCAAGTGCAAGATACTTCTACGCCAGACTCGCGGAGGTGATATCCGAACAGAAGCAGCAGCCCAGAAGTTATGTTACAGCCTGGACGAGATGTCGACTGTCCTTCTCTCTCCTTAGGTCAGCTTTGCTCAGCCTTAGGGGAACGAGAGCATCGGCCCCAAAGCCGACAACAGTTGCAGATATTGACTATGAGGCAACAGTCACTGAATGCTGCATAGATCTGTGGCTCAACTAACTCAACACAGATAGGATAGTTACTTATGTATTAGGATATTTAATTTTAAGGCAATAAAATGGCAGCGAAGGTATGGCTATAAGGGGAGGATGGAGGCCATTAAAAAAAAAAGTAATAATTCAGTAAATAAAATTTATAATAAATAATAAAAAATTTAAAATAAAATTATAAAATAATGATAATAACAACACTAATAATAATAAAGAACCATAAAGAAATAAAAAAAAAGATCAAAAGTGAGAAACAATATATTGTATGTATGTTGTGTTGTCAATAGTAAGAGAAACAATTGAGACCCTACAATTGCGTAAAAGAGGCAGAAAGTCAGATCAGCAACCTGGGACTTGGTCACAATTTTTGTGATGCCATATGGCAGCAGGGTCTACCATCAGATAACACATTATGCTTCCAATATCTTCCCAGGCAGTAGTACCTCCCTGTTTGATAGCTGCCTACTACCTACCACAATCAATCAATCTGTACATTTCAAGCGTTTCTCTTGAAGTTTTTGCAAATCTTTGTTTATTTTCCTGTCATTGTAGCTTATTCTTAGCAATAACCTATAACACCACATTTCAAAGGCCTCCAACCTCTTTCAGGTGTTCACTGTGTGCCCACGCTTCTAACCCATACATCAGTCCTTGCTATATAAAGCCTTTCAGGAACCCTTTTCTCAAATTGAAGTTAATATTCCCTTTCATTAGGTCTTTTAGATTATAAAATGCTGTTTTTGCTTCCACTATTCTTGTTTTGATCTTTTCCAAACGTCTACCATCACAGCTAATATTACTTCCCATATACAAAGAAATTTCCACTTGTTTAAGTTCCCCATTGCCTACCATAATTTTTATTTTAAGATATACAGTATATATATATATATATATATATATATATATATATATATATATATATATATATATATATATATATATATATATATATATATATATATATATATATATATATATATATATATATATATATATATATATATATATATATATATATATATATATATATATATATATATATATATATATATATATATATATATATATATATATATATATATACCAGTACTCCTCTTTATCGACGGATTTTTTATGGACGGTTTCGATTATCGACGGATTATTTAGCCGGATTTTTATTTTGGCACCAAACAGCTTCTCCCAGTCCTCTCCTTGAACAGGGCTAGAGGGTACGTGTTTTTCGAATCGTTTTCAGTTAAAAAACTATTACATCACTCGTCTATTTTACCTAAACTGCGCCTGAATGAATATATTCTCGGAGATAAATAGTAGTTTTGTGGAAACGTGACGTATTTCAATGTAAAATAGGATAAAATACATTACGAAAACAAAAGACTTTACCTAAGCTTCCGATGTTCTTGAGATGTTACTCGTTTTTTTAATAGTTTTCGGTTAAAATTCTGTTATATTACAATGATATTCTATTCATACTGTGCTTGATATAATACATTCACGGAAATGTAATATTTTTGCTAAAATGACGTCCGTATTACAGTGGAAAGTGGGATCAAATCGTGACGAAAACAATGACTTGCGCTTTCTTTCGTTCAAAAGATGTTACCGTAATCGCTTTTCGAATGGTTTAGTTAAAAAACTGTTGTATTGTATTACAATAATATCCTAATTGACTTGAATAAATATTACGATACCATATTTCTGAATATTTTCATTAAAATCCATCAAAATCATTTTCCTTGTCATCGTCTGCAGCACCAAACAGCTCCTCCCAGTCCTCTCCTTGAACAGGGCTAGAGGCTACGTGTTTTTCGAATCGTTTTCAGTTAAAAAATTATTACATCACACGTATATTTTACCTAAACTGCGCCTGAATGAATATATTCTCGGAAATAAATAGTAGTTTTGCTGAAACGTGATGTATTTCAATGTAAAATAGGATAAAATACATGTCGAAAACAAAAGACTTTACCTAAGCTTCCGATGTTCTTGAGATGTTACTCGTTTTTTTAATAGTTTTCGGTTAAAATTCTGTTATATTACAATGATATTCTATTCATACTGTGCTTGATATAATACATTCACGGAAATGTAATATTTTTGTTGAAATGACGTACGTATTACAGTGGAAAGTGGGATAAAATCGTGACGAAAACAATGACTTGCGCTTTCTTTCGTTCAAAAGATGTTACCGTAATCACTTTTCGAATGGTTTAGTTAAAAAACTGTTGTATTACAATAATATTCCCTCCTAATTGACTTGAATAAATACTTGAATGGAAATATACAATATTTTTGTTGAAACTACCCGCGTTTCAGTGTAAAGTGTCGTAATAATAAATGGTAAACAATTTGCCTTCGGCATCCGGATTTTTGGACTTTTACTGTACTGTACACTGTTTTGTTTACTGTAAGGACCGATGTTCACTTCAATAAATGAAATCGTAAGTTTGCTAGTATTTTGTCCACTTATTATATTATTATTTATACACTATTATTTAAGGTTATGCGTAAAGAAGCGCACGTTAAAAGTACATTTATTCAACATATGTTAATAATAGTTAGAAAATTACGTAACCATCACGGTATCGGCGGTTTTTATCACGCCGTTTACAGAATGAACCCCGTCGATAAAGAGGAGTACTGTATATATTTTATCTCGGCCAATATGACCTTTGTCATAGAATTACCAACAAGCCAGTATCTTAACTTGTATCTGGAGCCTTCCACCACCCAAGCAGCAAGTTACCCGCAGGCACTTTGTGTTAACTTGAGTGACACTCGCCTGGTTTATTGCCCCATTTTGCCTTACCTTTCTTCACTTAATTGTTGCAGCCAAATTGGTTAATTCTAGTGAAGTGCTTAATACTCTCTGTGGTAGTAAACGGGATGAGAAAAGTGATCAATAGGTGTAAAATTTTTCTAAAACAAAGCGAAAGTCTAATAATTTTCGTAATACAGTGCAATTCCTTTTATCCGATTTCCAACTCAATGATTCTTCTAGGTATCCAAATTTTAGTCCCCTTTGGTCGTGTTGAAGTAAAATTCTAATTTAGTCCAACAATACGAAAGCAACCGAAGTTATTTGTTTGCATGTCTGCCACCAGTGGCTCGGTAACCATTTTATTTACATTTTTTTTACTGTTACGTGCACACACAATCTTTAATGCAGAATGTACAAAAAAAAAAATATGTCCAAAGGATTTAGTGCAGGATCATGTGTATGTGGGGGGTTGCAGCGCCGGAAATCTCAGCCTCCACCTACTAGCCAAGCTGTGAGCTGCATCGTTTTGTTGTTGTTTTTTTCAACTTGTATTTTTGGGTAGACATACATAATTACCTTTTTATTTTACTGTTACATGCACACATAATCATTCATAAAGAATGTGCCAAAAAAGAAGAAAAATTAAATGATTATCATAAGATCAAAAACATAAAGGGAATAAACATTTCTTACGTGCACAGAAGTAGTGCCCAGATGTGGGAGGAGGGAGTAGTGTTGGAGATCTCAGCCGCTCCGGTCTCCCATGTGTAGTGAAACTATTGCCAACTGGCAATTTGGCATTTTTTCTTTTCTTTTATCTATTAGTATAATTTTTATTTATTCCTCACTGGTACTATAGTAAACCTGTGACCCTGGTCCCTAGTAGCATTGGATAATGAGGAGTGTGTATATAAAAAAATATGTGGTGAAAGTAGCTGACTGGGAATGCATCCCCCATATTTACATAAATTCTAATGGGGAACTGAATTTTGACCTAACCTTAATTATTGCATGTTCTTGGAGGCCTGTCCAGGTATCCGGACCATCATTGGTCCTGACGAGTTCTGATAAAAGGAATTGCACTGTAATTCCCCCATTTTCAAATAAAGAACATCAATGTAGATTGTGCCTCATGAGGGAACACACACGCACGCACTACAGTAAGTGACTACCTCGTGGATGCTGTGGAAATGTCACACTGAGTCAGATCTGCCCGGAGTGTGAAAGTGGAGTGGATATAGATTTTATAACCCCATTTACTTATTTATTCATTTGTTCAATACTGTAACATACATTTTATAGTCAATATTGCTAATTTTAAAACCACACCTTTATAATTTTGTTTTTTTCTGCTGTATTGCATTAAACTACATATCCTTAACTAATTGTGCAAGAAGAATCAGTCAGATATCTTTATTGGTAAAAAGTTTAAAGCAATTTAAAATTTGAGAATCTTCAACTGCATTTTCCTCAACATTCTTATTTTGGCACTTAGTAAATTATGGCCTAGAGCGCCTTATATACGGTAGTCCGGATTAGGAGTTTACTGTAACTCTAATTACATTAATTCTTATGTGGAAAAGTTCCGGTCATAAAACATTTCACTGTATGTTGGTTTTCTGTGGAACACATCCCCAATGTATAATGAGGACCCCCTGTACACAGAAAATACTTACAGTTTCTGGGGCTGTGACTTCTTCTTCAATTTCTGGTAGTTTTCTTTCTGGATAGGAACAATTAGAAATTTCTTCCACAACATTAAGTAGTGCTTTGTATGTAGAGTTGGCAATGTCACGGTTCCTCCCCTCTAGTAGCCAGACTAGGTGCTCTGCTGCACCCCGCAACTCAACCTGAAAGGAAACAAAGGCTCATTCTTAACTGGGTTTAAACTATTACCAACATATCTATGAAAGGAAAAACAAATTCCTCATGAAATGCTTTTCACATTACTGGGCACTTAAAAGTCTATAAAATGTTGACTAATTTTTCAGTGTAGACAAAAGTCCTGACTAAAGCAAGAAATTCAATAATTCATCAATCTGACCCTGAATCATGCAGGTACAATCTCATGCCTCAGTTCTTTCTCATTTCTCAAAATCTCACTATGAACCATCCATTCACTTCTACCAATTGAGACATTATGTGTTGCCCCTCACAGGGCATGCACATCAATCAACCAACATTTTGTTTCTATTACCACCGTTGTCAAATAATCCTTTATTTCTCCAATATCCTACCTCCACATATACTATACAGTATGTACAAATTTCTTTCTAATTGAGTTGTTTATGTCCCAGTACTAGTTCATTCAGTATACATTTCTATTAGTTTTCCATGCATTCTTGGCACTTCATATTCTCATCCACTTTCCTATCAATAATTTACATTTAAGTTCAATATCACTATTATTATCCGACACTTAAGTTTTCAAGGCAGCTATTCAAGTATTTTCAGAACCATACTCTCCTCCCTCTTCCCATTACTTAGTGCATGGGTACTCACCATAACCCAACTTCTCTCCAAACGTATTTGCTGGGGCAGATTTTCACACTTACAAATTCAGCCATACTCAGAAAGGATCATGCTTAGAGATCTGAGAAGTCGTCGTACATTTTGGGTATACTGTAGTTTCTTGTCAGGAGTTAAAGAAATAAGATAAGCAATAAAACCCTAACATCCCGAATTAGCATCTCAGAAATGTTGAAAGAAAAGGGTTGTGGGTTGTGCAAAATTTACACCAAATTATGCTATGCTTAATACAGTACAAAGCACACAAAGAGAGGATCTTGAAGCTGTGATATAATTTGTTTGTGTGTACATTTACAAAATGTATTCCATTTTTTTTACAATGTAATGTATGTACAGTACGTGTGTACAGGTATACAGTATATATAAATATTTTGTTATTGCCTTTGTCCTATATATTTTTGCTATATGGGATTATCTGGAAATGCAGGTACAGTATTTCATTTATCTGTACACCATCTCTTATTAGAATGTACAGACATCTTTGAATATTAATATGTTATGCTATATGTTTTACATTAATGATTTTTTTAAATGTTAGACAAATTACATAAGTTTCCCCTACATTTTACAAATTTCACTAGACATACATTTAGAGAACGTGTGAAAATAATGGCCTGAGGCATGTGGAGTCAGTAGTAACACTGTCCAGACTAAGGAGGGGTATTTTTGTCAAGCCTTTTTCCCATGTCACCCAAGAGGATGAATACATATAAGAATGACATTTTCATTCTGAAAACCTTAAGCTATGCGAATAACATGGGACAAAGTGAATTAGACCATTTAGGGTAAGAAAGGAGCATTAAAAAATTAGACTGTAAGGCGAGTCCAAAAATCAAAACCAACCTGGAATTCCTGTGTAGATTGTCCCTCCAATTTTGTAGGTGTGACCAGCTTATACAACAAATCAAGACTTTCTAGACTTTCTGCTGACATCTGTACTGCACCATTGGTCCCCGCCAAGAAATCCGAACGTGTTTCACCTTGAACCATTTGCTGCAGAACATCCTGAATAAAAAATTTATATTAAAACAATACATGCAACAATTTTATAAAGCACAGCATGTATCCCCTAGTACATCTCAATACCTACCTACCTGTTCTCTAAAATCCCAAATTTGAGAGAATGCCAGGCAACAAAAATGGGTAATTTTCAACTATCATCACCTCAATCATCATCATCCCCAGTTGCTGGAGTGATCAGCACTATAACAGTACTATGAAAATTGAATGAAAACCAAACCAATGTAAAATTCCCTAAACATCAGCTATACTTAAATAGTCCTGACATCTTCCCGACTCGTGAAAAAATTAACATTTCCATACCCCATAGAAACCCCCTGCGCATGTACAGACATAAAACCGAGACGTCTACGTAAGCATGGGAAACGAGAAAAATGGAATGGGAAGACTAAACAGAAGGTGGATAGGTAATGAAAGTAAATTACAGTACATTATTGTGAAAAGAGTAAAGCACAGGTGTGTGATGTTATGCAGATTGAAATTCTTGTATGATATGCAGATAACTGATAAAAAAGTACAGTGCCTTCTATTGTTTATTAGCATATATTACAATCTACAATACATACTGTCATTTCAATCACCTGGATTTTAAGTATCTCCTTCACTTTGATGATTTCTGCCTGCTGTTTTTCTATTTGCTCCTTCTTCATTTGTTTCTTCATAACTTTATTGTGGTCTGTTAGGATGGTTCCAAACTGGGTACTCAAGTCTCTCATCAACTCTAAGTTTGCCACAACACAATCATAGTTTTCTACAGCCTGTTGTTGATCCTCATTTAGTTCTTTACCAGCCTCAAGGTCCACACGATACTGCTCCAATTTGTTCTGCAGGACAAGGAAAATTCAAATAGTATGAATATTTAATCCTGCATATGTGCCAACAAACAAGAGGTCCACTAGGTCCACTGAGTATAAGACCAGTAAACTGAATGGATCAAACCAATACAGAATCTCCAAAAACCAGAGTTCCATTTTGCAAAGATGAAATCCATCAATACTCCACACAAATTGGCTCACTGCTAATACATTATTATTATTACTTAAGAACAGGTTGAAACTCTCTAATTCAGAGCAGAGCTGGAGCATAGAATTTTCCAGTTTATGGGAGCTTGAATGTAAGTTAGAAGGAACCCCAATTTGCACACCTGTCTTTCTGATAGGACTAGCATAGAATATTTATGGTATACAGTATTTACTAAGTGTCCAGCCCACAGGATTTTCCAATTCAAGGAAATCTGTATTAGGGAGACACAACCTATTTTAAATTCATTCAACCTTTTTGAATTTCTAAATCCCAAGTAGGCCCATTTAAAACTCTAACCAACTCTCCCTTAAAATCCACTATCCATCTAAATAAAATTACTGTACTACACCACCATCTACTTTAAAAAAATAATAATAATAATGTAAATAAATAAAAATTTACGTACAGCAGTTACTGCACACTACCAAAATGGTAAATATACTACTGTATATAAAAAATATTTTACAGGAGTGCTTCTAGTTATCTAACCTCGATTTGCAAAAATTCTCTATTACAAAAACACCAAAAACACATTTTTGTTCCAGCGCTTCAGTATACGAAATTTACGGTATTTTTTCTGAAGCATTGGAAGATGCAGAGTTACTGACACAAATATCAGTGATCATCTCAATCTAAACACAAACAGTAAACAGTGTACTGTAGTGCAGGCTAGTGTGTGGCAACATTGTTGTGCTTATATACACTATGAATAAAGAAATCTCTCGATTAATGCGACAATTATATTCTGGTAAATATGTACAGTATATCAAAATGCATAAATCAAACAATGTCAATAGTGGAGATCAGGGGTTTTGTTATTAATAGGACAGTACCTAATATTATAGTGAAAAACTACAGTATACAGTACATGTACCAGCAAGTATAAAATATTCCAGGCTTTTGCTTATATCACAAGAATGCTGAGGGGAATATTTTTGTGAATTTGGTGTTCGATCAATGTGCTCAACATTCGTTCCATTCCCTCCATAATCAAACTTCGGGAACATGAGGTCTTAGATGTACTGATTAATGTTCCACCCTTGACACTCTCCTTGATCTTCTCTGCGCTATCACAAATAGTCCGTAAAGTAGATTCACCAAGTTCAAGAGCATGAATAATATCTGCTTTTCGTTCACCTCTCTCAAACAGATTGAGCACATTTATCTTCATCTCAACGGTGATGGCCTTATGCTTCTCAGCACTACTGGAACCAGGAGAACTTAAAGGATGCTTTAGTGTCATTATGTAAGGGGGCAAAACATGCAATATACAGTACAGTATTGTCTACTGCAACACAAAATACTGTAGAACTCCGTGACTATAGATTGTATCCATGCAGAGGGCTGCCGTGACACCACTGTGCTGTCGGCCCAATAATGATGCTTATCGATGGCCATGACTCATGTTATTCCAAACACATACAAGTAAATAATAATGGCAAAATCCTCTCACAAATAATCAGACGCAAGACAACAAAAGTATTAAAAATATTAGAGTCTACCCTCGTCAACTCCGTGCTTTGTTTTAACTTTAATAACAAAGCACAGAGTTGACTTGAGGGTAGACTCACATTTTTAATAAATTTTTGTTGTCTTGTTTCTGATTATTTGAGAGGATTTTGCCATTATTATTTATTTGTCTGTGTTTTGTGCATGTGTCTTCACACACACATACAATACATGTAAATAAAATTAGTCTCTAGAATAAATGGTTTCTTACACAAAAAATGAATAGAAATGAAAGTAATCAGCGTACAAAACTTTCTAAAAACACCCCCATAATTACCGAGCCGCTGACAGCCCTCATAATTACCAAATCACTGACGGCCATGTCCCTCATAATTACCAAACTGCTGACAGCCACTTGTTTACGTCTGCTGCATCACAGCTGATGGAGTGACCGTAAAATGCTATCTTTACACGCCTATATCTCGAAAACTAAGCATTTGCCCAAGAAAAAGGCTATACTTCTGTTAATCTACACCACGAAGATGCCGGAAAGCCAGCTTTTTAAAGTGAGACTGATTGCATAAGTATGGAAACACAGATGAAGGCAGACCATTCCACAGTTTGGCTGTGTGAGGAAGGAAGGATGTACTATAACGGGTTATTCTAGTGTGACCGACATCCAGAGAAACGGTGGGCAACGCGGGCAAGACGCGTGTTACAAGCCCACGGCCTTGCCGGCGGTACACAGGATGCCAAATCCACTGAACATTACCCGTTAAAGTACCTGTAAAAGAGAGAGAGAGTGAAGCAACAGTGCGGCAAAGAGAAAGGAAAGAGAGATTGTCGACTAAAGGAGGAGAGTTAATAAGACGAAATGCCAATTTGGTTACTTTATACAATATTCAATGTCCCATGAAGCACAGTACAGTATCTTCTTGTGCATGCATACTATGACAAATAGGCCACAAACATAAAAATACCATCTATTTCATTCCCACACCATCATACGGTGCTGGACAACTCGTACTCAAGCAAATCGTACCCATCAGAGCCTGTCATGTCGTACCCAATTATACAAGGGGAAAAAAAATCTCTCTCTTGTATGTATATTATGTATGCTGTATGTATATAAATGGCGCACATACATAATATACATACAGCATACATAATATACATACATGTATGTATATTATGTATGCTGTATGTATATTATGTATGTGCTCCATTTATATACATTATTCAGCATACATAATATACATACATCTCTCTCTCTCTCTCTCTAATAAAAATAAAATGATAAAATACTAATGATAACTGATAAAAATAACACTAATAATAATAAACTATAAAGAAATAAAAAAAATTAAAATAAATAGTGAGAAACAATATTGGCAGCATTCTATCTCTACTCAGAACCAATTGTGTACATTTTTATACGCAAACATTCTAGCCTGCAGCCCGCATAATATAGACCCTGAAAAAGTGATTGAATGAATAATGGCTAGTGACAGGGGGGAAGGAAGGTTCAAGGGAAGGATAAAGGGAGGATAGAATTGAATTTTAGGAGGAGAGGAAAGATCCAGTAGCTTAAACACCACTTGCGTGAGGGAGGCAAGCTGTGTCTGATTGGTGAATGGCCGGGCTCGGCAGCAGAGGGGCGGGGACGGGATAGATGGCGCCAGGACATCGGGCTGGGCAACGTTATTTGTTCCTTACTTCAGGTCGGCTTGATCTCTTGTGCGTTTCTAATGGGCGGGCTGCTATGGGTCTTGTTATATAGAAGACGAAGATCTTCTCTTCTTTTTTTTCTTGGATTTTCCACTCAGTAGTGTCTTGCTCTTCCTCGTTTCCAAGGTGCTCGTAGAAGGTGAAGTCGGAGAACTAGAGGTGTTGGTCTACAGGGGCAGTTGGTACTTGTGTCTTTTCTTGGATCTTCTTTTCTTGTTTTTTCTCTTCGTGTTTCTTGGTCTCTTGTTTATTCTTCTTGGTCACTTGTTTATTCTTCTTGGTCTCTTGTTTTTTCTTATCTGGGGCATGTACTGCAAGGAGTGCCTCCTTGTAGCTAAGTTTCTTGTCGAGTCTAACGAGTCTAACCTTGGCTACCCTGCACTGTTCCCGCCACGTGGGACATAGCTTGTCGGCAGAGGAGTGTGGGCCACCACAGGCTACGCACTTCTTCTCTTGGTCGGAGCAGGTGTTGAGAGGCCCAATGTTTCCACACTTGGAGCATACATCCTCCTACGCTTTGCACTTGTGTACGGTATGACCATATTTCTGGCATTTGTAGCAGCATGTAGGTTTGATGTATGGCTTGACTGGGATGGTTACCCAGACCAACTGAACTTCCTTGGGCATGGTCTGGGGCTGCCCGACTAGTGCTGTAGTTTTAGACAGCCTCTTGATAACTCCGAGCTGTCCGTCTAGTAGTTGTTCTAGTTCTTCATTGTCCATGTGGGCTATTTCGTCGTGGAAGATAACTCCCAGCTTCAGATTGTCCCAGTCATAGGCTTATAAGAGCAACTCGATGCCGTTGACGGTGTCGTTATACACGAGTTGTCTGGCCTGTCCAAGCTCTTCAAACGTGATCTTGATAATTCCGTGTTGCAGGCGTTCTACTTTGGCGATCCCTTCAATATTTTTGCTATCGAAGAACTTCTTGAGGATAAGAAGGTTCAGTTTTTTAGGGGATGTTTCCTCGACCGGGCGCAACCGAGCCACTTTGGCAAGATCAACAGACCAAGGCAAGTCGGCTTGTGCTGGAGAAGTGTTGCCATCAACATGCTGCTTTCGTTGTCTAATTGTGGTTAATTTGTATTCTGCGGTACTACATAAAGCCTGTGCTTCCATCTAAAAAAAATCAAGGCATGAGTTGGGTACGAGTTATCTTAAGTACAATTTATCTTGGGTATGAGTTGTCTTGGGTACGAGATGACCCTAACCCCCTTCAAACTGTCCACAGCTTTGACAGGAGGTTCTGGCTGTCTAAGGAAGACTTAATAATACATGAGAGCAGCTTGTGTTCTGCCACCAGTGAAATTTGCAGATCAACATAATTTATCACTCCTAAGCAACATGGGATCATCAGGTACAGAGCCAGACTGTCCTTTACTAATAGGCAGTGGATATTTTGCCATGACCAACTAAGTTCCTACTAACACTATTCATATTAAACATAAAGTATTACGACAATCAGTAGGAACTTAGTCAGTCACAGCCAAATATCCACTACATTACTAATACAGTACTATATATACTGTATGTTCAGGTCTCGAGTCACCTTTTGCAATCAGTGTTGGCACACACTACTATAGTCGGTTAATATTCGTTCACTGACTGTCTGCAGGTTCCCGAT